CCAGTGATAATTTTTTGCAACCCCGTTTGGCTCATTGTTTAAAGTTGCCTATTGAGCCAATTCCTAATTTTCAAGTGTTGGTCGGCAATGGTAGTGCATTAGTTGCTGAAGGGAAGGTAAGCGAATTGGAGGTTACGATTCAAGGTCACCTCTTGAAATTGTCTGTGTATCTCTTACCCGTTACTCGGCGCCGACTTAGTGTTGGGAGCTGCGTGGTTAGCCACGATTGGACCCCATATTTCGATTACGGTAAACTTACACTTAAGTTTTACGTGGGCAATCAATTCGTCACATTGCATGGAGATCATCCATCCTTACCACTCGCCCGCTCGGTTCCATCACCCGAGAAGAATGCACCAAACGCATGCTATAGAGGAATTATTCACACTGCAATTTCAGCAGACTAGACTATTCTTCGGATCAAGGGTTGGTGTTACCTCCTACAATTGAACCAGCAGTGGCAGAAGTGTTGAATAAATATAGAGTGGTATTCTCGGTGCCTTCTGGATTACCTCCTAATCGGTCCCACAATCATTCTATTCCTTTGCTACCTGGTTCCGCCCCGGTGAAGGTTCGCCCCTACAGGTATCCTCACAGCCAAAAACACCAAATTGAGATTATGGTTCAGGAAATGTTGAATGAAGGAATTATTGTACCTAGTACTAGTCCTTTTTCGTCTCCAATAATCCTTGTCAAGAAGAAAGATGACACTTGGAGGTTTTGTACTGATTATAGAGCCTTGAATGCTATAACTATTAAAGATAGTTTTCCCATTCCCACTGTAGACGAGTTACTTGATGAGCTACATGGGGCCCACTTCTTTTCGAAATTGGATCTCCGTTCCGGCTATCACCAGATATTAGTGAATGAAGAGGATCGATTTAAGACCGCTTTTCGCACCCATCAAGGCCACTATGAATGGGTTGTGATGCCGTTTGGTCTCACCAATGCACCGGCCACATTTCAAAGTTTAATGAATGACATTTTCCAGGGTATGTTGAGGAAATTTGTGCTTGTATTTTTTGATGATATCTTAGTTTTCAGTCCTACCTGGCCCGCTCATTTACAACACCTTGAAGTAGTGTTGCAAAAATTGCAGCAGCATCACCTATTTGCCAAGTTCTCTAAGTGTTCTTTTGGGTTGCAGCAAGTGGATTATCTTGGCCATACCGTTTCCGCCCAAGGTGTGGCAATGAATCAGGATAAGGTGCAGGCTGTCTTACAGTGGCCATGTCCAAAAAATCTGAAACAATTGAGAGGCTTCTTGGGTCTTACGGGTTACTACCGCAGATTTATTAAGGGATATGCAGTGATTGCTCAACCCTTAACAAATTTATTAAAGAAAGGTAGTTTTACTTGGAATGATGCGGCTACATTAGCTTTGGAGAGGTTGCGAATGACAATTACTCAAGCACCAGTACTATCCTTACCAGACTTCTCTAAACCCTTCGTGTTAGAAACCGATGCCTCGGGCTTGGGCATTGGTGTTGTCCTTAGTCAGGATTCGCATCCTATTGCTTTTTTCTCCAAGAAATTCAATGCCACAATGCAAAAGCAATCCGCCTATGCTAGGGAATTTTATGCTATCACAGCCGCCATTGCAAAGTTTCGACATTATTTACTGGGCCATAAATTTGTGATTCGAACCGATCAAAAGAGTTTGAAAAGTTTAACTGATCAAACAATTCAGACACCTGAGCAACAGAAGTGGTTGCCTAAATTGTTAGGATATGATTTCCACATCGAATATAAGCCGGGAAAGGACAATCTTGCAGCTGATTCCTTATCCCGATCTTTTTATGCAGCTTGGTCTCAGCCTGCGTTTCATATTCTACCACAGTTAAGAGCCGCTGTTTCACAAGACAGACCATTAAAGGCTATTATGGATGCATGTCTTCTTAACAAACCTCCAGACCCCCACTATTCAGTGCATGATCAGTTGCTGTATTGGAAGGGCAGGTTGGTTATTCCTGCTGCACATGAATTGGTTAAGCGAATTTTACACGAGTTCCATAGTTCGTTGATAGGCGGCCATGCGGGTTTTACCAGAACTTTGGCACGAATAGCAGCTCAATTTTATTGGAAAGGAATGCACAAGGATATTAAGGAGTTTGTGCAAACCTGTTTGATATGTCAACAGGCCAAGGTGGCTAATACGCTTCCTGCTGGGTTATTACAACCGCTTCCAATTCCGGATCGGATTTGGGAAGATTTAGCAATGGATTTCATTACTCGGTCTTCCTAATTCTAATGGCTTTACTCGTAATTCTGGTGGTCATTGATAGATCGTCAAAGTATGCCCATTTTTCTCCCTTGAAGTCGGACTATACCAAGTAACTCGAAGAGCCGAAATTTTCATGACAAATGTGGTTAAGTTACATGGCATGCCGAAATCAATCGTGTCTCGACAGGGATCAGATCTTCACTAGTCAACTATGGCAAGCAACTATTCAAATTGAGTGGTACGTCCTTGAATATGACCACTGCATACCACCCACAATCCGATGGGCAATCTGAATCCTTAAACAAGTGTTTGGAAATGTATTTGAGATGCTTTACTTATGATTCTCCTAAAGCGTGGTCAAAGCTGTTACCTTGGGCTGAGTATTGGTATAATACTTGCTACCACCACAGTAGTGGCATGACCCCTTTTAAAATTGTTTATGGTAGAGACCCTCCTACATTGACTAAATACAAACTGGATAGCCACGATCCTGTTTTAGTCCAAGAACAGCTAGTGCAGCGAGATTTGACTCTGAACCGATTAAAAATTAACTTGCATAAGGCTCAACAGTACATGAAAAAATACGCTGACAAGAAGAGGCGATTCTTTGAGTTGAACATTGGTGATATGGTTTTGGTGAAATTGCAACCCTATCGGCAGCATTCGGTTGCTCTAAGGAAAAACCAGAAACTGAGTTTACGATATTTTGGTCCTTTTCCAGTAATCGAGAGAATTGGACAGGTTGCTTACAAGCTGTTGTTGCCCCAAGGAAACCGAATTCATCCGGTCTTTCATTGTTCTCAGTTAAAGCTTTGTAAGGGAGATCATTCGCAACCTTATATTCCATTGCCTATTCAAATGAATTATTCCCTGTCATTCAACCTGTCTCCATTCTGCAATCTCGGGTGATAATGAGAGGCCAAGAGTAGATTCCGCAACATCTGGTTCAGTGGGAAGAATTAGATGTATCTGCTGCTACATGGGAAGATCACGATAAATTGCAGCAGGCTTTTCCAGTATTTAACCTTGAGGACAAGGTTCATTTTAATGGGGGAAGAACTATAACAAGTGTCAATGAGACTGATAACCAACAACTTCATAACAGAGGGGTAAAAGCTTCAAATACTAATGTTATGCAGCAAGGATACGCAGATCATGGAGGCAGGAAAAGCACAAGAATTAAAATAACTAATTCTAGGTTGAGGGATTTTGATTGGTCAAGAGTTTAGTATAAATTGTTTGTTGTGGGGAGAGAGAAAGGGGGGGGTAACGATTGGTTTCTCATTTTTCTCTCTCTGGACCTTTTCTCTCTGAACTTTTTCTCTTTGGCATTTTCATTCATACGTGTTGATCATTCTCTGTAATTCTCTTACCACCATGAGTATTTTCTGAGTTTTAATAATACTGCTGCAGAGAATTACTTTCCGTTATCGTATTTTGTTTTCATCCGTTACACAAATTTATTTATTTATTGAACCTCTTTTTCTTCACTATTATCTATACATTACTAAAATATTAGTTATTTTGTACAAATTTTCTTATAATTTTTTTTAAATTTATAGGAAATTTATTTCTTATAATTTTTATAAAGAATTAGTAAAAATATATTACGAAATATGAGAATTTTTAGTAGTGATAATTATTGCAAAACTTCCCTCTTCATTTATTCCGTAACTTTTTCATTTGACACATCTATTTTGTAGAGTTTACCAGTTTATTAATTAAAAAAGTAACATAGTAATGGTATAAATTGTATTTTTTGAAAATTTGTTACTGAGAAGAACACTATTTTGTTTTTGTTTTTCATTTATTAAAAATGTTATTTCAAAAAACTGTTTTGAGGACTCACAACTTACAAGTTTGTTTTTTTTATTGTTGTTATTTAATCTTCAAATTTTTAGATTATTTTGAATTCAAAACTTATATAAAAAAAACAGTGATTGAACGTATTATTATTCAACTTAAAAATTTATGAGTAATTTTCTAAACATATATTTTTATTTAATGTGTTTTAATGATTTGGTCTTTGATATTCTTTTTTGTCCATTTATTCTCCATGTAGTGCACTCATATGAATTGATGTTATGTATCTTCTTTAGTCTTTAAATCATCACTTTCATTTGTGTTTTCTTCATTTTAGGAAGTAGAGGTTTCTTTATCATATTTGTGTGTTTCTTTTTCTGATAGAATGGTTGTTTTCTCTTGAATTATTGTGAATCTCTTATTTAGGTTTAATATAATCTTATTTACGTTCTGTGTTTAAAAGTAATCAATATAAAAAACATATAATAATTAAAAGTAAATTACATATAATTCTTTATAAATAAAAGATCATAAAAATTTTAAATTAATTTTAAAATATCCTCAACATATATTATATCAATAAATTGAATGTTATGTAAAAAATAGTATAAACATATAATTTTCTGTCACTTATATTTACAAGTGACGTGAATTTAACAGTTTTCAATTATCAATATTAACTTTTAATTATTAGTTAACTTTTCAACTTTCAACCAGTTTTTATTAATGTATTTATTAGTTTTTTTGCAAACATAATCCAAGTAATATATATATATATATATATATATATATATATATATATATATATATATATATATATATATATATTTTTGCAAACATCTACCTCATAAATTGATTTTCTTCTTAACTAAAAAGTGGAAGAAAAATATGGACTCTATTAGTGTGAGCTAGCAAAAACACATAAAATCCATTCTTTTTCAAGTGTCATCAAATCAATGCACTCAAAGCCTCATCACATAATTTGACAAGCATAGGGGTTTTCATCACTGAACATCTCCGATACAGGATAGTATTGTCCCATGTAGTTATATTCACCATAACCCCATGCAGGTACCATGTAATAGTCATTCTTTTGTTCAGTTTTTCTCTGGTTATTATCATTGCCCTCATGATCCTTATCATTGTCTCCTTCATTGCCACCTTTTTTCTTCTTTTTGGTGGAATCATTCCCTCCTTTATCACCTTCTTTCTCTTTCTCCTTTCCTTTTTCCTTCTCTTTCCCCTTCCCTTTCTCCTTCTCCTTCTCCTTTCCCTTCTCCTTCTCCTTCTCCTTCTCTTTCTCCTTATTTTTATCATTATCCTTATCCTTATCCTTCTTGGCAGGAACCACCTCAACCTTCCTCCTAAACTTCTCTGAGCACTTCTTCACCATAGCTGTCACGTCCATTGTGCCTTTCACCATTACCATCCCTTTCTCCCTATCTACAACCACTTCATTAACCCCTATAACACCTAACATGTGTCAAAACACACAAACAATAAAAATAAAAACCAAATCCAATATACAAAAAGAAAAACGAATAGACACCTTTAATCTTCAACACTACCCTACGAATCCTATTGGAGCATCCTTGGCACGGGCAAAGATTAAACACCTTCAGCATAACTGTTGTCATCGGAGCCTATCACATCAGTCAAACCACATAAATAAAATAATAATAATAATGATAATTAGCTCTTAAATCAGTAAAATATTCAAAATAACCTCTTTTTCTTTGTTATTTTTTTCATTGTTTTTGGGTTTATTTTCCTTGTTCTTGTTGGGAAGAGAAGAGGCATTATCGACATTCTTTTTTGTCTTTCCATCCCTTGGGTTGATGGGGTCAACAATTTTGGTCCGAATCTCCGGCTTGAGACTCTCCACGTCTTCAAAGAGAAGATTCAATGTCAATGCTTCAATTATGTCAGATGAAAACAAACTAACAGTAAACAAGAGTGATAAAAAATAATTCAAATTTGAGAGAAAACATATTTGTGTTTATGAAAAAGTTTGAAAACCTCGTAGGCATTTGATGATTTTTGAAGCGCATTCATCACAATGCATATCGATTTTCAAGACAATTGTGGTCGAGTTAGACGATGATGTTTTATCATTCTTTGTTTCTTTGTTGTTGATGTGCCCATGATCACACTTCTTAGCCTGTTTCTGTGCGCAATTGAAACAGAAATATTAACATTTAACAATATAGATAAGAAAAAAGAAGAAGAATGGAATTTAACCTGTCCCATCAAAGTATTACACAATTGAAACAATGAGATTAACATTTAACAATACACATAGAAAGAAGAGAAGAGTTTAATTCAACCTAACCCATCAAAGTAGCACTAAATATAACAATAATTGACTCAAGTGAAAATTGTAGTTGTGAGGGAGAAGAATAAGTATATGAGGTTTATTTGTTAATAATTGTGCTTATGTCACCTACATCATTACATTTTTTTTGTTTAATTTTTTAATTACTAGTTTCAGATTTTGGCATTGAGATGAACCATTAATAAATTTATTGATCGAACCTCTTTGTTCTTGACTGTTATGATCCATAATTATTGCAAAACCACCTCTTCATCGGTTTTGTAACTTTTTTCATTTTACGCGTCTATTTTGTAGAATTTACCACATTAACTAAAAAACATAACAGAGTAATGGTATAAATTATATCGTTTGGAAATTTTGTTACCAAGAATAACATAGTTATTTATTTATTAAAAAGGTTATTTCAAAAAACTGTTTTAAGGACTCATAGCTTACAAGTTTTTTTTGTTTTTATTATTGTAATTTAATCTTCAAATTTTTAGATTATTTTGAATTCAAAACTTATATATAAAAAATAGTGATTTAATATATTGTTATTCAACTTGGTCAAATTAAAAATTTATGAGTAATTACCAAAACATATATTTTTATTTATTGTGTTTTAATGATTTGGTATTTGATATTCTTTTCTGTCTATTTATTCCCCATGTAATGCACTAATGTGAATTGATGTTATGGATCTTCTCATTTGTGTTTTCTTCATTTTAGGAAGTAGTGATTTCTTTATCATATTTGTGTGCTTCTTTTTCTGAGTCTTTGTTTTCGCCTGAATGATTGTGAATCTCTTATTTAGGTTTAATATAATCTTATTTACATTCTGTGTTTAAAAATAATAAATACACAACATAAAAAACATATAATAATTAAAAAGTAAATTACATATAATTATTTACAAATAAAATATCATAAAAAATTAAAAATAATTCAAAAATATCCTCAACATATATCAATAAATTGAATTTTATATAAAAATAGTATACACTACTAGAAATTTATTTATTTCTTACCATTTTTATTTCAAAAACTTATTCACAAAAAATATTTACAATTTTTTTAATAAAAAATTATTCACTGCCAATTTCCTGCAAAAATATATTTATAAGAAATTGTTAGAATTTGTTTTCTAACAATTACTTATAAAAAGTTTCTACAAAATTTATTGCAAATATAAAAAAAAATCTGCAAATAAAAATTTGCAAGAAAGTTAGTAAAAATTTAAATTTATTTATTGCAAATCTTTTTATGAATAAAAATTTACAGGAAATATTTGCTAATATTTAAATAATGATAGAAAATTTTCAAAAAAAAATTAATGATTTTTTATAAATGATATTTTGCAGGAAAATGAAATAAAATATTTATTATTTTTAAATAATTAAAACAATTTATTTAATAAAATATTTTTAACAAAATAAAAAATATACAATAAAACAATACAATAAAAATTTAATAGTAAATTTTTTACCAATTTTAATATATTTTTTTCAACCCACTGGATGCATTCAATGAGAGTGATGAAGATCTTATTGAATCATTTGATAAAACGAAGATCTTGTTGATTTGATGAAGTCAAAGGCTATTCTGTTGAAGTCAAAGGTTACTTGGTTAAAATGGTAGAGTGATTAGTGAGTCTGCATCTATACATAGGTATAATCATTCATATATCTCTGCTGCATGAGGTTTCATCCTTTAAAAGATTTTGAAAATGCCTCTAAACGTATTTAATCTGTTAAAAACCAAAGTAATCGGTTAAATGATTTTTAAGTAATTGTTTTAACTGATATTATATGAGTTGTATCAGTTAAAATGTTCTTAACACTTACATAACAGGTTTTTAACTGATAGGTTTTCGAAATAATCGATTAAAACCATTTAAAACATTCACTGAAACTGTTTTAATCGATATATCTTCGAATTAATTGATTGTTTTCATTAAAGGAGTTTTTGAAAATCTTCTGCCAGTATTTTAACTGATATAGTTTCAAAATAATCGATTAAAATGACTTAAAATGTTTTGGAAAGTGTTATGACAAGTATTTTAATTGATACAAACTCGAAATAATCGATTAAAATAACTTGAATTGGTTGGAAAGATGTCATGTCAAGTATTTTAATCGATGTAATCTCAAATTAATTAATTAAAACCACTTGAAAGGTTTTGAAAGAAGTTCTCGCGTAATTTTAATCGATGTATTATCGCTAAAATCACTTAGAAAGTTTTATGAAAATATTTGCCAGAATTTTAATCGATTAAAATGCGAATTAATCGATTAAAACAACTAAGAGATTTTTTACAAAGTGTTTTAACCGATTAAAACATACTGTTATAAGTTAAAATCACTTAGAAAGCTTTATGAAAATATTTGGCAGAATTTTAATCGATTAAAAGGCGAATTAATCGATTAAAACAACTTAAGAGATTTTTTACAAAGTGTTTTAATCGATTGAAACAATATCGCATCAGTTAAAACAAATCTGAAAAATGATCAAGAACATTTTAACATATTAAAAGAAGTTTTAACAGATTAATTCAAAACTTTTAACAAATTAAAAGATTGTTTTAACTGATTAATTAAACCAGCAGTTAGAATAATTCTCTATATAAACAGGATTGCTTGAGTTTTTTAAAATATACCTTTGAGCAATCAATCAAGCAATCATAAGAGCTACTTTCAAGAAAGAATCACGCAATTTTTGTGAAGTTTTTCAAAGTTCTTTCTTGAGGAAATTTTTGCATTTCTTTTGTGAAGAAACTCATTCTGCAGAGCTGCATAATTCGGGTTTGAGTGTTCTAGTTTCTTCTCTTTGTTTCTTTACATTTCATTACTGTATTGTGGGTGTCTGGAAGTGTGGGCACTGGTTTCTGTGGCTGGAATTTGGCTGCAGGGTGGTTCAAGAACTGGAAGTTGGTTCTTGGTGAAGGTTTATGTGCAAGGACTGAAATTTTGATTCTTGTGGTAGATTGGGTGTGTGATTGGAATTATAATCTGTAAAACATTCAATCTAGTGGAACTCAGCTGGAATTTGGCTGAGAACTAGACATAGCCCTGGGATTGTGTGAGTATAAATCTTGGTTGTATTTCACTAAACCTTACTCTCTTTAATTCTGCTGCTCTCTTTATTTTGATTGTTTGTTTTGCTTGATTCAAGAATTGGTTAGAACTCTTAATCTTTGAAATAGATAATCTGTAAATTGAAAAAATCTTTCAAAGATCAATTCACCCCCCATCTTGATCTCAACCTCCTTTTCTAACATTCAAAACTCACATGGGAAGCACACCACTAGAGCTAAGCTTCATTTAAAAAAAAAGGGGCATCATAGAGTTTCTCAGCAGCGAACAACCACCATTTGCAACAAGCGATGAAACAACCAAAATTACTTTTCTCTACGACGAGCGGCGAACCAGAAAGCAGGTAGAAATACCTACAATGCTCAAAGTTTTAGGATCTAATTTCTTCTTCTCATTCTCTTATCCATGGAGAGAAACTCTTGAAATTGTTCTCCCATAACAAATTTACTAAAAATCTACATTGTTTTGTCATATCTAACCTCCATCTTTGTTGTACTATTGAATTATTGGCAAGCGTACCAAAATTATCAATCGCAAGTATAGTATTTCGATTAAATAAAAGTCGATCCCACGAGGAACAGTTTCAATGAAAATTCTCAATTATGCTTACTAAGTATATTAAACAAATTGGGTTTTGCAAATAAGAGTTAAATTGAAATTAAATGACAAATAACTGTAAATTATTGAGAAAATATCAATTAAAGACACTTAGATTGACTTCCTGTTAAGTGGTAAAAAGTTGATATAATTATGCCTTGAATTGTTATGAAACCACTTAACTTATGTTAATTCTAATATATTTTTCTCCCAATATAGGATGAATTCGAGAATACCTTGATATAAGAGTAAGGAGCATAATTTTCAACATAATTGGAGTAAAATTAAAAGAAAGAAGAGCGCTTAAGCGAATAAATGATGCGAGGCCCGACCCAAATTCTCTTATAAAAAGATAAGTTGTGTTTTGAGAAAAGGAAGTAGTATTGAAGGAGAGGAGGCACGACTACTGTTAGGGTTTTGTCCAATCTTCATCAATTCTTCACTTCTTCATCAATTGGAGCATTGTAATGGCCAACATGAGTGACTAACTTCATTCTCTTAGGATTCGGTGCACTTCCTTTGAACTTTTTTTTATCATGGTGATATTTTGATATATTAATCTATGCTTTGATGTTGTTATTCTTATCCTTTATGCTTTGGAATGATTTATTCTTGATTGTTTGAGGTATGATTGGAAAATATATCTTGAACTCTAGATCACGGTAAGAATATTTGTTACGTTAATTGCCAAGAATGGAATGAATGTATCAAGTGCTTAAACACCCTAACCCTAATGCTGGAAAATCTCTTAATTGTGTGAGGAATCAACATTTATTAGGTTTTCTTATGAATTTCATGTGTGAGGAATCAACATAGATGATTTGAGTAGGTGGCATCAACATTGTTAGGTTAATTGACGTTCTTAATTGATTTAACCATTACAAAAGAGGGATAAGGAAGTAAGCCGATCCTAAGTACCTTTAATTGATATTTTCTCAACAATTTACAGTTCTTTGTCATTTAAATTCAACTCAACTCTTATTTGCAAAATCCAATCTGTTTAGTATACTTAGTAAGCATAATTGAGAATTTTCATTGAAACTGTTCCTCGTGGGATCGACTTTTATTTTATCGAAATATTATACTACGATTGATAATTTTGGTACGCTTGCCAATAATTCAACAAGTATTTCTAGCGCTATTGTCGGGAACAGTGTTATTTAAGAATTCTTTGTTTAGCTTATTGAGTATTTTATTTTTATTTATGTTATTATTATTATTATTATTATTATTATTATTATTATTATTATCATTATTATCATTATTATTATCATTATCATTATTATCATTATTATTATTATTATTATTATCATTATCATCATCATCGTTATTATCATTATTATTATTGTTATCATTATTATTATCATTATTATTATTATCATCGTTATTATCATTATTATTATTATTATTATTATTATTATTATTATTATTATCATCATCATCGTTATTATTATTATTATTATCATTATTATTATCATCGTTATTATTATTATTATTATTATTATTATTTTTTTTTAGTTTTTAGTTTGTGCTAATATTTGCTTGAGTTACTCTTTTGATTTATGCGTTTAAGAGGACAGGTATCTTCAGAGTAGTTAGAATTTAATCAAAAAATTGAAAAAATAGTTCGGAGGAACTGGGGCAGAAAAAGAAGGGAAACTCAAGAACAAGCCACAAGAGAATCTGTTAATTCTTCTTTCACACTTGATTTACTAGACCCAATTATAGAAGATATGGGGGAACAAGCCACAAGAGAATCTGTTAATTCTACTTTTTATGAGTTGATTGGTACCATGGGATTTAGAGCAGCAAATCTTGAATCTGCATATTTGATATTATTTCCTTTTTCTTTGGCAGGTAGGGCAAATGAGTGGCTAAAAACACATCCTAATCAGAGTTTGACTAATTGGAGTAGTGTAGAAGAGAAGTTTTTGAATAGATTTTTCCCACCATCCCGCTACATCAAAGCAAAATCTGACATCACTTCTTTCAGACAAGGAGCAGATGAACAATTTTGTGAAGCATGGGAGAAATTTAAATCACTGTTGAGAAGTTGCCCAAATCATGGATTTGATGACGTTTCTCAGTTGAATATTTTCTATACTGGCTTGCGACATGATGCAAAGATGCTATTAGAGGCTGCAGCAGGAGGATCCATGTTGGATGTAGAAATTGATCATGTCACCAGAATTATTGATGCACTAGCTTTTACAGACCAACAGGCCCAACATGATAGACATCCAATTCAAAGGAAGAGAGTCCTTGAACTTAACACCACAGATGCTCTCTTAGCCCAGAATAAAATTTTGACCCAACAAATTGAAGCATTGAACCAGAAAATAGAGAAATTACCTCAACAAATGCACATAGTACAATTTATTCTTAATCAACAGATGAGTTGTGATGTGTGTGGAGGTGATCATGCAAATGAACAATGTTCTTATCAATGCAACATTCAACAAGAAGAAGCTAATTATATGGGTGCTCAAGGTAGTAGTCACGGTAGACAAGGAAATTTTACTAATCCTAACAATTATCAGAATAATACTGCACAAGGATGGAGAGGGAATCAGAATCAAAATTTTGGGTGGAACCAAGGTGTTAGCTCATCTACTAGACAACCTGCATTTCAACAACAGTCATATCAGTAACCTCCATATCAGCAGCAGCAACAACATTATCCTTCAGTGTCTGACAGAATAAGTAAATTGGAGGATATTGTAGAAAAATTCATGCAAAACACTATGGCTAATCAGAAAAATACTGAAGCTTCATTCAGAAATATAGAGACCCAGATAGGCCAACTGGCTAAGCAATTATCTAAGCAGCAACAAGGAGGACAGTTTTTAGCTAACACACAAACCAATCCAAAGGAGCAGTGCAATTCAATAACTACAAGGAGTGGAAAAGTTGTAGGTAAGGGGATTGGTGACAATATAGTTGTTAAAGAAGAAGTTTTGGTAAAAGAAGATGAAGAGCAAGAAGAGGAGAATAATAAAGAAAAACATATTCCTAATAAGAAGAACGAAGAGAAGATATAAAAAGGAGGGAGTAAAAAACCATTTGTAGAGAAGTTACCATATCCCAAGGTTCCCTCACAGATAGATAAAGAAAGACAATTCACTAGGTTTATGGATATTTTCAAGCAATTGCAAATTAATATATCATTTGTGGAAGCTATGGAGCAAATGCCAACATACGCCAAATTCATGAAAGAGCTCTTAACTAAGAAAAGAAGATTTACTAATGAAACAGTAGAGTTAGAGGCAGGATGCAGTGCTATATTCCAAAAATCATTGCCTCAAAAGTCCAAGGACCCTGGAAGTTTCACTATACCAGTCACAATTGGTGAATTACCAGTGAAAAAATCATTACTTGATTTAGGGGCCAGTATAAACCTCATGCCATTATCTATGCTCAAAAGAATAGGAAACTTGGAAGTAAAGTCTACAAGAATGACATTACAGCTAGCTGACAGATCTGTAAAGATTCCTTATGGAGTAGCAGAAGATGTTTTAGTTAGAGTGGATAACTTCATATTTCCTGTTGATTTTGTGATTATGGACATGGAGGAAAATGAGGAAGTCCCATTGATCCTGGGAAGGCTATTTATGAAGACTGCCAAAGTAATTATAGATGTTGACATGGGCAAGTTGAAAATTAGAAGTGGAGATGATGAAGTTAATTTTAATCTGTTTGAAGTTGTACAACAGCTGGAAGACAAGAAAGATTGTCTCAGAATAGACACTTTAAAGGAATTAACCATCTCAACTGAAAAACAAGATTACAAGCCAGTTGAACAACCCCAAAGACATCTTAGTCTGACTATGAAGGAAGTTGTTCAAAGAAAGGTATTGAAACCTCTTGAAGCAGGTATGATTTATCCAATCTCTGATAGTTGTAAGGTTATTCTCAATGAAAAGAATAAAATCGTTCCCACAAGGACAGTTAAGGGATGGAGAATGCGTATATATCACCTTGATCACTCACCTGCATGAGCCCTAAAGCAAATAGGCGTCAAGTTGAAGACGTTAAACAAGCGCTCTTGGGAGACAACCCAATGTTTTGAATTTGTTTTTTTTTTTTGCAGTTTAAGTTTTTTTGTGCATTTTTCTTCCTTAGGTTCTTTCTTTGCAAGATTGCTCCAGGTACACAGTGCACTTCTCCTCAAGACTTTGAAGCCTTACTTCAATGGCCTGGGGACAATCTAACTTTTCTGGAGGGAGTGAGAAAGTCTGCAGTTGAGACTGAGGCACAAGATAAGGAGTACATGACAAGTGAAGAAAATGAGGGAGGAAACTTACTTTACTTTTAATGTTTTTAATTCCTTTGTTTTTAATTTAATGTTTTTAATTGCTTTATTTTAAATTTTGAATTCCCTTGTTGTCCCATAATTTGTTTTAGAGCCATATATGAGATTATTGCTTATTGTCTAATTCAAATCTAGAACGTGAAAAATAATTTTGATTGTTTTCAATAACAAGTGATTTTGGGATATGAAGTATGATAGTAAAAAGGAATTGATGAGAAAAATTAAGAATTAACTGAATTGGAGAAGATAGCCAAAACCCAGGTGAGCAGAGTACCAAAAACAGATAAATTTAGTGTCAATACTTTGTGATGATAACTGATATTTGTTTATTCTTTGATGTGATTACATGTTGGCAAGACTTGAAAATGATAAAGGCAATTTTTTTTCTTTGTAGTATATATAACCCAGAGCCAAATAGCCAACCATGCATTAATTATAGGACATCCATTTGAACCCCTTCTGAGCCAAAAATAATATTGTTTCTTAAACAGAACCCTTAAGCCTAAACACTATTTATCTACCTTCCTATATTTGAGAAAAGAAATGAGTATGAATGTCACTATTTTTCTTATTGTT